TAATGTCGGTTGAAGGCACGAAATTCTGATTTTCTTTAAAGTTCTTTAAAGTAATCTTCTTTAAAGTCTTCTTTCACACAAACGAAAAAGTGTAATTTATATCCAAATATTTACAGATTTGTGGCCATTTGGATCTGATAACGAAGACTCTAATGCAAACAGAAAATTAACATATTTTTAATTAATGTATATATGCGTAAACATAAAGGCGTTTAAGTGAGAAAGAATTGAAAAACATTAATATTAAAGGTAATATATAATAGAAAGCTCTATATATATAAAAGACATATGAAGTGATTTCGACGATGTCACATAACGTAATTTATACATACGTATCTGTTACGTTATGTGACATCGTCGAAATCATTTGCTCGGTAACACTTTGATTGCTAACTTGCTCACATTTCTAAATGTAACAATTTTATTACTATGATGATGATTTCAACTATCTATTTTCTTTTGTATTATTTATAAATTTTCAACATTTTATCTAGTAAAACTATGTCTGTTTCTTATTCAAGGACTTTAAACATTTCACCACTTTGACTATTTCAATTTATGTACTCGAAACAGTAAAGGATATGAGGACTGCGTTACCGAATATTTTATAGATTTCAAATAGTTTCATAATTATAATGTACTGTAACATTGATAATGACCCGAGCAGCGTCAAAACGTTTGTTGTAATTTCTTTATTATTTTGAATTAAAGTTTCTTTGTTACACATCTGGCTGTTAGCCCTTCATTTGTAATAATATTAAAGGACATACCTTGCAAGGATGTTGTCTTTTATCGTGGTGCTTCGAGTCCACATGATAACCAAGTATCATTTAGTATGGGAATTCTTTTCACATTCATTAGATTCGTAGTAACGTTAATTATTTTAATGAAACACAAATTTGTGCTGTTTTAGAGATCGAATATGTCTATAAAGTTACCATTACAATATATCATTTGTTACAACATATTTTAAGTATTATATATAGGACAATATTACCAAACAATTCCGTTTATCCTTGATATTCAAGGATGTACCCACCTAAACATATCTCCACAAAACTCACAATGATAAGGTTTTTCGCCTATATGTGTTATCTCATGAATATGCAAATGCGCTTTGTTTTTAAACTCTTTATTACACATTCCGCATTTGTATGATACACCTCCAGTGTATAGATCCTTATTAGACTTGAGATGTTCATCATTGCTATGCTTTGTTTTCACGTGTGTTCTTAGGTTCTCTTTTTGACTGCAATGCGACCGTTGCAATAATTATTATTTTTACCAGTTAACTTATTCATGGTATCGTGTGCGTGCGCGCGCGCGCGCGCGCGCGTGTGTGTGTGTGTGTGTGTGTGTGTGTGATTTACCAAATTATTTTCTTAACTCTTGTTGTTGACTTGAATACTCACCTACATTTATGTTCACAAAATTCGCATTGATAAGGTTTTTCGCCTGTATGAGTTCTTTCGTGTCTATGCAAATGCGGTTTGTTTTTAAACATTTTATTACACATTCCGCATTTGTATAATACACCTCCAGTGTTTAGATCCTTATTAGACTTGAGATGTTCATCAATGCTATGCTTTGTTTTCACGTGTTTTCTTAGGTTCTCTTTTAGACTGCAATGCGACCAAAAAATAATTATTTTTTTACCAGTTAACTTATTCATGGTATCGTGTGCGTGCGTGCCTGCGGGTAGTGTTGGGTTAGGGATCCTTTCAGGCTGCGAAACGACCGGTGAAATATTTATTAGTTTTACCATTTAATTTAATCATTGATAATGAATTACCAAAGCATTTTCCTATAATTCTTGTGGTTCACTTAAATACTCACGTAAATTTATTTTTACAAAATGCACATTGATAAGGTTTTTCGCCTGTATGAATTCTTTGATGTCTATTCAAATGCGTTATGTACTTAAACTCTTTATTACACGTCCCGCATTTGTATGATACACCTCCAATATATAGATCCTTATTAGACTGGAAACGTTCATTATTGTTATGCTTTGCTACCATGTGTTCTTTTAGGTTTGCTTTAATTCTGCGAAACGACCGTTGAAATATTTATAATTTTTACCATTTAATTTAATCATTGATGTTGAATAACCAAAGAATTGTCCTAACTGTTGTTGCTCACATAAATACTCACCTACATTTATGTTCACAAAATTCGCATTGATAAGGTTTTTCGCTTGTATGAGATTTTTTATGACTACGCAAATGCGATTTGCACTTAAACTCTTTATTACACATTCCGCATTTGTATGATACACCTCCAGTGTATAGATCCTTATTAGTCTTGAGGTGTTCGTCATTGCTATGCTTTGTTTTCACGTGTTTTGTTAGGTTCTGTTTCAGACTGCAATGCGACCAAAAAATAATTATCTTTTTACCAGTTAACTTATTCATGGTATCGTGTGTGTGTGTGTGATTTACCAAATTATTTTCTTAACTCTTGTTGTTGACTTAAATACTCACCTACATTTATGTTCACAAAATTCGCATTGATAAGGTTTTTCGCCTGTATGAGTTCTTACATGCCTATTAAAATGTCCTTTGCTCTTAAACTCTTTATTACACGTTCCGCATTTGTATGATACACCTCCAATATATAGATCCTTATTAGACTTGTAAGCTTCATCATTGTTATGCTTTGCCACCACCTGTTGGGTTAGGGCTCCTTTCAGGCTGCGAAACGACCGGTGAAATATTTATTAGTTTTACCAGTTAATTTAATCATTGATAATGAATTACCAAAGCATTTCCCTATAATTCTTGTGGTTCACTTAAATACTCACGAAAATTTATTTTTACAAAATGCGCATTGATAAGGTTTTTCGCCTGTATGAATTCTTTGATGTCTAGTCAAATGCGATTTGCTCTTAAACTCTTTATTACACGTCCCGCATTTGTATGATACACCTCCAATATATAGATCCTTGTTAGACTTGAAACGTTCATCATTGTTATGCTTTGCTACCATGTGTTCTTTTAGGTTTGCTTTAATTCTGCGAAACGTCCGTTGAAATATTTATAATTTTTACCAGTTAATTTAATCATTGATATTGAATAACCAAAGTATTGTCCTAACTGTTGTTGTTCACTTAAATACTCACCTACATTTATATTTACAAAATTCGCATTGATAAGGTTTTTCTCCTGTATGAATTGACTCATGTTGATGCAAATTGTATTTTGATGAAAACTCTTTATCACATGTTTTGCATACGTGTGGTCTAATTTCAATATGTATGTCTCTATTATTTCCATTTGAAGTTGTCGAGGAGTCAGTTCGCTTAACTTAATATTAGCAGTTGTTATGAAATAAGCATGAAAACAATAACATTATTCTCATAAGTTATAAAATACTCTACTCAACAAAATTAAACTTGCGAGAACAGGCAAACTTCGAAAAAATATAATTTCGTGAAAAGTCACCCTACCGAAATGTTTAAAAAACCATTTTAAATCATGTAATCACTACCTTTCACACCATCACTTCAATAATAAGTCTTGCTCATATTTCACGAAGTTACAGTATCATAAATGACTATTCATCAAATCTTAAAGTTTTACACGAAATTTTTGAAGTTACACGATGTGAAATGATAATTATAACCCTTTCAATTTCTTTTTTTTTATTTTTGCATGATGTATTACTTAATGTATTAATTTTGCTGATCAAATTTTAATGCACAAAGGTATTAATAAAACTAAGTTTGATTATTAGGGACTATAATGTAATTCTTACCGCGCTTTTGTTGGTGATGTTGTTCATCTTCTTTTGTGTCGTTATTCTTCATTTGGATTAATCTTTTTTTAGAATCAACTCTCTGATCCGTCAGAGATATTTTTCAATTAACTTTACTACAATGTTCTTTATATTACTTTCGTTGTTTACACGTTCTAAATATATTTAGACACTTTTACTATTTCATACTTTTGTAAATTATAAAAAATCCTAAAAAACAGTTATAATTTCAAGTACTATAAAATCATAATAAACTGTCACAGCTATCACGAAAAGTAATAAGGAAGTAACAGAAAGCTATGTCAAATAGAATTAGTTATAAATACTTAATGTTAGTTATAAATATTTAAAATTATAAAGTTACCTCTCTGAGATTGAATAGTTGTTAGATTTATGTAATAACTTTTATTTTAACGATTAAAAAACTTTTATTCAAAAATTAGGTTTTAGATGAATAGATCGAGACCAAAAATAATACGTTTGAATTTGAAATTGTTTGCTGACAAATATAAGCACGTCAAAATGAACATCTTGGAAACGACTGAGTCAAGGCTTGATGTGTGTATCTTTTATACGCGTACATGTACATACCTGTATATGTATGTATGTATACATATTGGTGATTCTCTTATGAGAATCGACATGACATTTTGTACTTATTGTCTCGGAAATCGTGTATACTCCTCAAAAATGTTCTTTAGGAAAGTTCAAACAAATCATGTTTTCTGTTTTTTCTTAAATCAGACAATAGAATCGTGGTATTAATTTAAATTACAAAACATAGAAAAAGTGATTTTAGTACAACAGTTACACAGTTTGCTTTAGGGAAACGCAAAATGTACGGTTCGAAATACGAGCTCGTATTTCACTAAAAAACACATTAGCGGATTATAAATAATATCGGAAACAAAATGGTATGCCGATTTTGTAATGAATCTACGTGCGCGCGCATACATAAGTCAATGCATCGATTTTACAAAGTTCATACGAATTTTTATTTTAATTGATGTAAATAAGATATTAAAAGATTAATACAAAAAAAAGCGAATTTTTAAAATATTTTCTAAGTCCTGTAAAATGTATTTGATACTGAAATAATGGATACATTTAAATTAACCTTCTGCGCTGCGCCGGCGGACGCAGGGTTTCGCGAGTTAGAGTTGTTTACTTTTTTTTTCAACTATAAAGAAAATGAAGAAATGGATATTTGTTTCTACGATAAATATATTTTTATGTCATCTTCTGCACATATTTGAAATAATTTACTACATATTATATTATAATTAAAAAAAACTGTTTTTTAAACGTTCAAAAACAATATCACTCCTTGGGTCACATTTGACCCTGCATCTGCCGTGCGTACGAGTATCACGACGTTCTCTATTCGAGAGTCAAAGAAGTAATGAGGTATGTTAGAAGTATTCTGGCCACGCGGTTCTTTCTATCCAGGGAATGTAGTGATAGACTCGGGTATACACGCCAGGTATGATACTGCCGCAAAGTCGTCCGAGACTGGTAACTCCAATTACGTTGTACATGCACTGGTGGTCCGTGTTAAAAACGGCAAGTGGTCCTCCGCTGTCACCCTTAAAATATACAACAAGTATATTCGATTAATGTGCTTCTAAATATTTTTTTCATAAAAATAATATATGAGCAATATCTCTTTTCAATAAAGCTTTTGGTCTCCGATATAAGAGAAATAATAACTGGAAAGAAGGATAAAAGTTGCGGCATGATTGGATTAACTAATTACAAAAATGATGTTAAGAAGCTCGCATTAAAATAAAATTTTTATTCGGAAAGGGATGAAACATTTTTGGATGCAAATATATATTACCTGGCAAGTATCTTTCCCAATTTCTCCCGCACATATTTGCCATTCATTGACGATCCCTAATGCGAGCTCCACGGAACTGCCGCCATCGAAGAAACTTGCGTTGCAAGACTCGTGAGGGACCAAACTAAGTGTTACCTTTAATAGATTGTCTGAACCTTGGTCATCAGCTGAAGAATAAGCGATGTGCATCTATTAATTTTTTTATGCATATGTATGAAAATAAAAGATTTTCTGTTTTATAATTAGATAACGTTATGATGTATACAAGCCTTATAGTAATTAATTTTAGTAACTCAATTTTGACAATTTGACAGTTAAATTTCTCTCTTTATGATCTTACCCCAGTCAACTAGACCCCATCCAGTGGCGACTGCTTTGTCATTTGGACCCACGTCAGGCCAATCGACTGGAAGACATGCCGGTCTAACATATGCATCGTAAACAGCTTCTTTCGCTAGACGCAGTATAGCTATGTCATGATATTCCAATGGACGTTTGTAGTCGGGATGCCTTATTCTTTCCTGTATTGCGATGGTCTGCGGCTTCGCGTTGTCATTCGACTGTACGAGGTTCAAATCGCCGAGACGCACCCAGTTTGCGTTTCCCCTTTTTAAAATAAATAAAAATTATTATAATAATTATTTATTAAAACTTATCAAAATGCGTTAATCAATTAATAAATAAATTAATATATGGAACGAAAAAGAAACAAATTTTTTAAATTTCTAATAATGTTGGAAAATAAACTTGAACATTTCAACAGAAATTTGAACTGAAAAAGTTACAATAATAATGATAAGAAAGTCATTAATTTTTTTGTTTTAAAATACTGTAAAAGCAATCTTGATCGTTTTATTCATCAATTTACCGAATATATAATAGATTAAAAATAAAAGACAAAATTTACCAATCCGCTGTCCAAGTGCAGTGGGCTGCTGTCAAAACGATTTTCTTGGAAATTAAGGTACCGCCGCAAATCCACAAGATTTTATCAGTACTGTCGACACCAACGGCCGCCATGTGCGGAAATTCTTTCGCTTCGGCTTTCTTGCCACCGACGATTAGTTTGCGTGTTGTCAAGGCGCATAGTGACGTATTGACAGGTTTCCGGTTCAATGTTGGTGTGGGTGGTAATACGAAACCGAAAACAGCCTCCGCGTTTTCTGCGCATTCTGAAGAAAAGAAAATATTACAATTATTTATCATGTAGTTTCTCGCTTCTGATATCATTTTGATATCATCCGTAGTAAGTGATCAGGAATCTTATTTTCTATGTATATATTCAAGTTTGCTAAAAATGTCTACATTGCCGATTTAACACTGATAAGTTGATTGTTCGTTATTGCTATAGAAGTTGTTTATGTACACCATTTAAGACTGTATGCTTTTATATGTATATCGTATGTTTACGTAAGACATTTTTCTAATGAGATAGAAGTATAGATCAAATTACACACTAGTTTCAACGAATGTTGATTGTTGTTCTAATGTTCCTCATGTTTTATTAGAAACGAATAAAAAAAGAAATTTTTCCTTACTTGCTCGTGCTACGGATCCCCTTGATCTATCTGGTCGCCTTGTATTTGTTGGTACAGTAGGCTCTAGTTGCGGTGTTGGCGGCGTTGGTTGAGTAATTATACGGTCTTTTTTTGGACAACATACTATTGGGTCGAAACCTGAAAATCCGCAGGTTTTGCTAGGCGTTTTGCCGGCTAACAATTCTTGATACACTTTTGGACAGTCTTGTAAAAGCTTACATTCACCAGCTGTATTGTCGATTGTACATGACTCTGAAAATTATAGGAACACATTAACATATATTAGAAATTTTTTTGCTAAAATTAGATAATAAGGATCACAAAATGAGAAAATTCTTACAACTCCATAAAACATTTGTTCAACTTACATATTGGAAAATTATACGACGGAAAAGTTAATGTCAATTATAAATTATTTGTAATTTTTATATAGTATGTCTATATGATTATGTAAAATTTAATCGATGTATGTGTATTTATTTGAAGTTTTTATAAGTGAAAGTTTATTAGTGAAGTTTATACAGTTTTGTACAAATTAGATATATATAAATATACTTTATAAAGTGGAGTTATTTTGATGATTATTATTAATTTGTCCAAAGAGCATAAAGTTATGAGGAAGTACGAAAAAAACTGCTTTAGACAGTTTGTAGTGAATTCACCATAAAAATTTTGCGAGGGATCGAATAACAATCGAATTTCAAATTGTTCAGACAAGCGTGAGATTATAGCACAGATTTAGCGTGTTAAATTACTACCTCATAAATATAGATCTTATAGGTAGTCAATCAAATCTAGTCGAAATCACATGTATTTTTATAAATACGTTTATTTATAAAAAATATTTAATTTTGATAATTATATTGACGAAAAGTGTATTAATGTCTTTAAGACGCTTATTATACGTTATTTTATGACTATTAACAGTGACAGATTTATTTGTTATAACAAATTAAAAAGATACAGGTTTCTTTTTCAATTCAAGAGATATTCCTACAAGCTTTGCAATTGTCATTAAATCATTGTGTCAAATACTAAATTGTACGACAAGATATATTGCAGGAATAAGCACAAAAATAATCGTTGATATCCTGACGCATAATTATCAAGTAATTATTTCTTCTTCTGCATACAAAATTAAAAGCAAAGAATTTAAGCGAAACCAATTAATACATTTATAATTATAATTGTATACTAATTATATAATTATTTATAATTAAAGAGTTATATTAATAATTATTTATAATCGGAGTTACAGCAAAGAAATATATTACTACACAATAGACTTTGTTTGGTATGCACGTGCATTTCGACAGACTTTTCCGTTCACCGAGAAGAATGCGCTCGATATACCCGTTCCAAACAAGAATTCGTATATATGTATATTTTTAGCGAAGAGAACTAATACTCACGTCCGATGTGCATTCCATGTGTCGCTGACAGAAACGACACCAACGCCAATAGTAATAACGATGAGGCGATCAGCACGCTCACTGGCATCCTCGATCAGCCTTGGTCAGCCTTGATCGCGCTGTTTTCTCGTCTGATTCCGAAGACTCGTCGGCGATGGAAGATATACCTTGTCTAACACGTTTGCCCCATGCGTTTCTGTTTTTCCCGATCCCCACTCGATCGCTCGTTCGCACCAGTGGCGGTGATGAACCACGAGGTCATTCTCGTGATACTTCTTGATAAATCAGTCTAACGCACGATTCTATTTGCGTCTTTGGAAGATCTCAGTAAAACGATCTGACGATGGATGATTAAGAGGCAATCAGTAGTCGCGTGCCGCAAGCGATCTGTAACAGGAATTGAAATCTCCGTAATTCTTACGCGATTTCGATCGAAATCGCTATAGTTCTTGTAATTCCTCTTTTTTATGTGCGAATGTGTGTCTTTCACGCGAATTATTATCGTGCTACTGTCGTCACGAAGAGCGATACCGAAAAGTTATCTCTGACTATATTATACTTTGACATTTGAATTTAACGGGAGAGAGTATAGACAGAAATCATTAATTCCATAGGTATCCAATGAATAATGCAATGTACATATATGATTTCGTGTGCATTCATGTGTGTAATCGGTTTCTCACAAAAGTCGCTCCTTACTTGGATCTGTTGAATCGTGTTTAAAATATCTAGACTTATTTCGAAATAAAAGATTGTGAATAATAGACTTACAGTTTTCTCGTTTGAATATGGAAAAAATGTTGTATCAATGACACTAATCTAGTTAAGTAACCCTATTTACTCAATATATTCTTGTTTTAATAAAACAAGAAAAAAATGATGTTATATTATAGTAATATTATATTAGTAATATTAGATTAATATTAAAACCAGACTTGTTTTATTAACACTGCTATTAAATTAACAAGGTTATTTCAAATTGTAAATCTATAATATTACTAATATAAAATCATTTTTTCTGCAATTTATACACTGAGAAAAAATTGTTTATTTGATTTAAATACATGTTTTCTCTGATAAAAAAGATAAAGATAAACTAAATTAATTTAGTTCATCTTCCTTTTTTTAGAGGATACATGTATTTAAGTAAAATATAATATACATATATCTTCTTGTTAATAAAGTAAAAATAAATTTAATTAATTTTGTCAAATAAACAATTCTTTTCTCAGTGCAATATTGTCTTGTTTTTATGCAACACAAAGAAAATGGGAAAAGTAAAAGCTAGGAAAACATAAACAGCTACAGTTTTATTTTTTATTAACATAACGTGCAAAGCAGATCAATATTAGAATTCTAGAATTCTAGTATTCATTCAATAGGAAATATATACTTCAACTTATATCTAAATATATAGGTAATGGAAATGTATGTTAACTTTCTTGAAAAAGTCTTGATGCGAAGTTCAAGGATATCAGTCCGATTTACTTTACAGATGACAGGCGTAAAACGATTCATTTACCAATTTTTTGGAAATTTTTGTGATTTCTCTGCAAAGTTCTCTTAGATCTTATTACGATTAATAACTTATTCCTTTTATGGTATATATATTATTATTTCGTTCATAGGCTACATATTACTAAACTATTAGAATTCTAATGATGATTAGATATTTTTCGACACGTCAAACCTCTCGAGCTTGTAATACATGGAACAAATCCGATTCGATCCATCATGATTGATGTTACGGCGATGTCAAAGGCCCGATAGGTTTGATAAGGCCAGTTTCATTAAGAACGAAACACGTGCACGCATCCAGGGATGTAGCATTTTTCTTGAGTGTTATCTCTGCAAGAGATTAATACGGTACAATTAGCATAAATTTACTAATAACATAAGTTAATTATTGAAATATGAATCTGTACAAAAGAGAAATATTTTTATGAACGAAGTAAAGTGTCAAATGCATGCAAATTTATGTTTAACGCATTCTAGGATGTGTAATAATGCAGAAAGATGTGCAAATGTAATGTGTATTCGAGTAATAATAATGAAATGGTTTTTGAATTAATTAAGTAGAATTTGTAAGCACTTTTTGATAAGATATACTTTTCTTAATAAAATTTTCGCAAAAATTGTGTCTCAGTCAGATACGTGACAAACAAAATTTTACCATTTCTGCTCCTTATTTTATAGAAAAATTTTTATTTTGTAAAAAAAATCTTTATTCTTAATTGCTACAAATAAAAATTAATTAAAACTTTATTTATTAACAAATATAATATCGAAAATTAAATAATTACTGCAAATAATAATCTATTTTAGTAGCTGTACAAAAATTTGATTTCATATTTATACATTTAAGTATTTATAAAATATCTTTTGTTAAATCTAAAATTTTAATTGTTTAATTAACGCTTTTGTGTGTGTAAAAAAAATATGACTTTTTATCGTAAGCGTGAGTAATAGTATGCGGTTAAATCAGAACATAATGCAGTTTTTCCTATGAAATAACTGATTATTAAGGTACAGTACCTACTTCCTGGAAATAGACGCAAATTTTTTATGAAATGCACCAGGAAGAATTCAGCGAGTACGTCATTGCTTGCAGTTCTGCTAATATTATTAATGACACTTTGACTCACGGATCGCCAATCGTTAATAAACGACCTCATCGTCGGGCAATCCGCATGCATTTCGTTACGCATTATCCGTTGTTCTTAAGGCGAGAATTTGCTATTAAGGCCATTGTTCGAAGAAAGTGTCAGTACTTCGTGTATTGGACTTACAATATGCATAGAGAGCTTGTGATCGCGTTGCTTGTCACAATTTTGCTCAGGAATTCCGCGACGCGAAAAAGTGAAGAAAGTTAGTGATTCCCTGTCTGCTTTTATCCGCGATAGGATTCGAAGAATTGTTTATTTCGAATGTACGCACATATCATGATTCCAATGTATCTTAATTTTTTTTTTGTCAAATTTAAATTTAATTTTTTTATAGATAGAAATTGAATTAAAAGTCATGGCAACTTTATAATTTTTAATATTAAATATTGTAGCAATTAAGTACAAAATTAAATAAATATCTGTTTAAATCAAACTCCTAAAAGTATTATAACTAAAAAAATAGAAATAACGCGCTTAATTGAGAGATTTATAATAATTTGTGTTAGTTTTCATGGTTCGAATCTATATAACTTAATAATTTTAAAATCTTTAATTTTATCTCGGTTAAATTTTTCATTAGGTATAAAAATTGAGCTTCTGTAATACGTAAGATCTATGCTGTAAAAAATCTAATTTTATTTGTGTCTTAGGCTGCAAGCCACTTAACGCTGTAAATTTTATTGACCAATTAAAAGACAAAAATTACCTAATTGATCAATCGCGAAATGTTTTAAAACATTTGAAGCATCAAATGGATCGTAGCCATAGATCGTTGTTATAAAACAATTTGCATTACAAATTTACTTCTGTGAAAATGTGTGTTGTTTATTAAATCGATATTATAAGCTGTTTTTAGAACTATTCTTCATTATGCGAATATGCGCTTTGTGATTACAAGAAGCATGTATAACTTGTTTAGATCAACATACAAATAGATGCGCGTTTCGCAGGAGATGCATTAAGTAATCATGACGTACAATATGATAAATTAATGAACTACGCACTTTGCAGGCAAAGAATCACGCTTGTAAATGAGTAACAAAAGTAATTTCCATATATTCCCATAATTCCCTCACATCGTAATTGCCCCATAAATCGTCGATTGCATCATTTCTCACCCGTTTTCCGCTACGATCCTGATTTGCATAATCTCGCCGCTTCTCTTCGCAGAATGTAAGGAATATTCCGATTTGGTTTACGAAACCGAGAATTCGCCGACTTTACGTATCAATGCCGGCTCGAATAAGGTCTCCCGCTGCGCTGTTGTCGAGACACCTCTAATCATCGGCGGAATCCAAGCGAAACATGCGGAATTTCCGCACATGGTGAGAGTAAATACGTATTTACCGCTGCAATCTTCAAAATAATCAAAAAATACATATAACGTTGTCAAATATTGTGACCAATATACGTATAGCATAAATATTTATAGACAAAGAAAGTTGTTTTCTAAATTTCCGAGTTACCTGAAATTAGTTTGTTTAATTATTTTTGTTTTTTTTTTTATTGTCACGCCAGACACAGCATTTGCTTTCATATGCGATCCTCAAAATGTGTCATTTGGAAAATCCCTTGTAATAACAACACAATGTAGATTTCTATGTAACATTTTCATCATCAAAGTAATTAACAGAACAGTATTTCTCATATCGCGTAGGCAGTAATCGGTTATGGTAAACAAGATGTGTCCTGGCAATGCGGAGGAAGCATCATCTCCGAGAATTTTATTCTGACAGCAGCGCATTGTATGGAATCCCCGGACAAGTAACAATTTTGCTACAATTATTTCTTCATTTACATCATTACTATCGCCAATTTCGAATATTAAATAGAAACTTACATTAGGACGGGCTAATCAATCAGTTTTAATCTTAAAGTAATAATATAAATATATTTACGAGACGACAAACAATATATCTTTGTAATGACGCGTTTAAAACTATATTACACAATCATATGACTTTTTGAGAACACAAGCACAGCTTTTAAATATTCAATATGTGCTGCTGAGAAACATGAACATTACCGCGAAAAATGGATGAAAAAACTCTACTGTACTTTATTATTAATATTATCTACGTGTTTCTCAGGGGTCCCGCGAGCAAAGTGCGAGTCGGTTTAATTAATCTGTCAACTCCCGGTGAGGCTATGCAGGAGAGGAATGTCGCGGAAAGAATCAAGTATCCAGATTATAAATTTTCAGTCAGATATCACGATATAGCGTTACTCAAGCTTGAACAACCATTAGAATTGAATCCTCGAATACGACCCGCGTGCCTTGAAATAGAATCCCGACTACCAAGTCAAAGTGCTATCGCCTCTGGATTTGGTAAAACAACCTACGGTCAGTATCTCTTAAAGTCCAATTTACTCTTTGCTTCTTTCCTGTTTCTTGCTTTTTTGCGACTATTCTATCGATAATCATGTTTCTTATTGTCTCGTTTGAAGTCAATTTTTATCTCAAGCAACAGAAAACGAAGAAACAGAATAAGAGGTAAAAAAACAAAATAAGGTAAAAAGTGGTAATAGACAAGAAACAGGAAGTAAAGAATACGTTACAGATTAGACTTAATCTTCTTATGCTGCAAATATAAGTAAAATGCCTATATGAGTTTCCGCGGTTGATGATGCGTAAATAATATATAAGGTGATAAGATTCACAGACAATTGAAATATACTTACCAATAAAGTTAACTGCAAACGTTTCGATTCTGGATCAAACTAGTTCGTATTTAACTTCCGCATTGAAGAGAAATCAAATCCAGAAATATTCACCTTATCGTCTTATAAATATATTCTTGCATCGATAATCACAGAGCTTTATATTGACACATTTTATTTATATTTGATTTATTCTTAGAGCCACAAAACTATATATATTTTTTTTTATTATTTTAATTTTCATGTTTATATTAAATTTAATAACGATAATAATTTATATTATTATTTATAAAATCTTTTTTTCTTGCGCATCGAGAGATATAATGTGAGATATTGCTCAGAATCTAGTATTGGCAGCAACGAATTGATGAAAGTTCAGTTAAACTACATTTCCGAAGATGAATGTAAAAAAACTTATGCTGAGGATCTTGGTACTCGGCGGCTGCCCGATGGTTTAATACCGAGCTTACTTTGCGCCGGTGTAATGGAAGGCGGTAAAGATACTTGTCAGGTATGAAAACATTGTTTAAAATTATTCTTAAATCTTTTATTTTTTAAAATAATATGTTTTGAAAATATATCTTTTATATTCCTCTCACTCAGATTAAGAATTTTATATATAATCTCTTTGCTTATTTCTTGGACATTTCCACTTTCGGAATCCTCTCGATTTTAATTTAAACACAAAAGAAATATACAATATATTCTTATAAGTATTATAAAGAGTAAATACATATATGTTTAAAATATGTAAATTAACTAAATTTGATAAATTTACTTCTGAAACATATCAGTAAAATTCTTACTATTAAACATAACCATTTATTTTAAAGATCATATGTTTAAAGTATTGAGAAAAGATTGAAATAGAATCTAATTTGGTATATTTGCAGGGTGACAGTGGCGGTCCATTACAAAGAATTCTCGCGGAACCTTACTGCATGTACAGCATCGTTGGTGTGACAAGCTTCGGCAAGTTTTGTGCCTTCAAATCATCGCCCGCAATATACACCAGAGTTAGTTCTTATCTTGATTGGATTGAAAGTATTGTTTGGCCGTAAAAGTCAAATACGGAAGCGTATCAATAAATTTCGCGATTCTCAAATTTAATTTCTGGTTTCAATAAATAATAAATAATAATTAAGCGTAATCGAGGTAATAAAAATTGAGGAATAATTAGAATAAAAAATAACAGAACATTGTCATATTATAATCATTACTATAATTTTTATTGCAAAAGAGATAATATTCATTGGTATATTTACAATGTGGTACCCAAATGTATGTATATACGTACAATCCAGTGTAATGAACATATGCAACTTATGTATTTTTACTCAGGTAGTATATATCCTAATTAATAACAACCAACAATGATAAAATGTATACAATATATAATGACTAATACGCTCTATAAAAATAGAGTAATATTCAACCCACACAGTTCGGATAAAAGATGATAAAACAATGCCGTAATATTAACTTTAATAAATGTATAGTATGTCTAGTATATATTGAAAGATACACACATAAAATTATTAAATATTAGAAGTGGCAAGTAAAAATACGGAAAAGAGAACGAGGACTTATAACACAATAAAAAAATTTACACAGAGACGTGATCTACTTATTAGAAGAAATATCTCGGTAATCGTCCTTAAGATAAGAGATGCTTAAAATTTCCATCGAGACGCAATTAAAATCCTTAATGAGTACGTATATTATTTACATTATGTACGTGATTTAAGTTATCAGTCTTACGGCTCTCGAAAGGAAATTACGCGTATATGTACATACACACGTTAGCGCGGAGTCTCGTTATACTGATTAACGATTGATATTCGACGAATAGACACGAACTCGAACTAGAGCAGCAGTACCGGTGCACAAACTAGCTTCTTCGTAACAGAACTACCAATCATCCTATGTATTTCCGATACATTTGTTAACAGCTCCTTTTAATTCGCTGCATTGAAAGGTGAAGAGAAGAAAAAAAACAAAGAAAATAAAAGAACGAAAGGAGAATCGAGGAAAAGAACGAGAAAGATGAAATGAAAAACAGAAGAAAGAAAAGCAAAGGTAATAAAAGAAATAGTAGAAATAATAGAAAAATAGTAGAAATAGTAGAAATAAAATTAGTTCGTTCTTAAAATTAAACTTACGAACTAAAATTAGTTCGTAGTTAAATTGAAAGATTTAACGTTAAGTCTATCTCGCTGAGAAAGCGTAACGAAAGTGGAATATCAATCGTTATCTACTTTGATGAATAGAACTGCAAAGAATCCCTACGAGCAGAGAAAGCAGTTCCGTTTACAATGCTGCTATCAAAGCCCGATGCAGGACGCGTAGAATGGCGTCTGCAAATCACCAGGTGGAGTCTGGCCGTTTCTCGTAGTCATGCCGACGTTTATTTCCAGCAATTTTGCAATTTAAAACACTCTCTCATTCACCGCGAAAACAGTGCGGCCTCCGGTTGACCTCTCGTTTCCTGAAAGCAAACCTCAGGTCGCTAAGCATTTGAATACCTATTGCTTTCGTTTAACAACGCGGGTGGCATTGTATTTCCATGCGCGCTAAACCACACACTATAGCTAAAGAGACATGCATTTAATTTCAAACGAGAGAGGCTTGAAGGAGTACAGGCACAGACATTGAAGTGGCAGCGTTTTAAACGTGCTGGAAGAGCTAGAGTCAGAAGTGAACTTCAAAGAAACTCTATACGGTGCTCCATACGTAGGAGCCCGGCAGATACGAGATAAAAACGAGATCGGCAAGAAATGCTTGGTGCCAGAAAGTATTACTTGCAAAAGATTCGTGAGTTTACAAGCATTCATGCTCCACCCCGTCGTTGCTATTCCGACGCGAGCCTTTACCATCGCGTTGACTACCAACTCGTGAATACCTGAATGTTTTTTGACAATTAAAATAATTATATACAAGCTTTTTACAAATTCTCAGCAGAGGAAAATATCAAGCATAAGATAATTCGGCTCATATACACATTCATCATAGAATTTCTTTTTCTATAGATATTCACGAATTAATAGTCAAAGCTGTGTACGTTTATTCGTATGACGTAATCGAAATGTTCGCCGATGGGCTTATTCGCTTTTATCGCAGTTCGTTCGCTTATTCTATATATTTTTAAACTCCACTCGCTTAAACGCGTTGATTCAAGCAAGATGGTCCGCAAAACGCGTGTGTACGTACATGTATCACGTATACACTTAACTCTGTATATACATATGTATAAGATATAAATCTTCGTTAAAAAATTCTTTGTGAAAAATGAAAGCCAAATGAAATACTTATAGATATAGTTGCGCTTTAAATTAGTAGCTCAACATTTCACAAGTCTATATCTAGTATTGTTTATCTTCTCGATTCGGATATTTTAACAGTGTATATATGTGTGTGTGTGTGTGTGTGTGTGTGTGTGCGAAGCTATGTGATTTATTACTCTCTAATCGCGAAACGGTACGTGCCGAGAAGAAGGAACTATAAAAGAAACGACATATAGCACCGGTCAGAAAATAAACCTGCCGCTAACAGTTATCATCTCGTCGTTTTCTACTGATTCACATCGACTATACGAACGGTACTTGCCTTATGTTTCTCGCAGTTATTAATAATAAAACTTTTCAACGACTCGATAACGATGATACGATTGTTCAAATAACGCAATAATAGGCTTAAAGTGTAAAAAGGAGCTTGCAAGAATCAGGTTTTATGAGCTTACGTTGCCTGGGCAATGAGCATTATAAGACAAACCTCTATAATTATACTTAAGGCACCCTCCTAAGGCACATTGCGATACAATTTTTTGTACAGTAATCTCGCAATTGCTAGTTCCACTGAAATCTCACGAGACCCACGCGCGTCCCTTATCTCCCGTTATGCTCGTAAAAAATAATTGACACATTCAGGCGATGATTTGTGTTTCGCAGAGAGGATAGTATTGACAGTGCCGAGAGGAAGAAATAAAAGATAGAAAAAGAGAAGAGAAGAAGAAAAAGAGGAAGAAGTGTACGAAGGAAGAATTGGCGAAAGCTTACAGCACTATATAACATTGGCCGATATGACGAGATCAGCGAGATTTGGATCAAGTCGAGGGTGGAAGCTCAAGACGGACTCCTATATTCACAGGCGGGCTGAAAATCCCAGGAATGAAGAAACGGAGGAGGAAGAAGAGAACGTTTGAGAAGATAACGTGCGACGATGATGTCCGCATTGGCGAGCGTAGTTATTGATGTTATAGCTGGAGGCAGACGTTGAATGATGTCATGAACCGGTCATACGATAATGCGGATGCTAAGATCTGGAACAATAATGTTTTATGATAAGACAATGCGCAACTTTAATTGATTTGGATAATATGTAACAAGAAAATAAGAATCGAAAATGTGCTAAGTAATTACAGCAAAATGATAATTGTAGTAAAATACATTGAAAAAATTCGGTAATAGCTACTAAATGTATTGCATTTAGCATATACAAACGGAAAGTACAATTTCGTTGAAGTATGTAAAAATTTAGCTGGATATATAGATTTGAAAATAATTTTGTTGAATCATTAAAATAATTAATCTATGACGCTCAAATTGATTGCTTGAAAATATCAAAACTGTTTGCAGCACTGCTAATATATTTTTATTTTTAATATAATTATGATGGTTCAAAAATTAGTTTTAATTACATTAACTGAACATTTAATTAAAATTATTAATTTTTTTCAAAACTTTTGTAACTATCATCTAGGCTTCATTATTGTTACTAGACTTTTTTCAGAGTACTATTTATAGCCGACAGGATTTAAACTTAACGAAAAAATATATCATCTTTTAGACGCAATAATTAATTAAAATGCAATACCTTTAAGAATCAAAAGACTTGCATAATAAAAATTCTGCAATTATGAAAATAGAAAGTGGTTTGATGATATACAATATTACAAACTATAGTAAATCCAATCAATTTACAATTAAAATGCGCGCAGCGTATCGTTGCATCTATAGCTTTAATTAGTTTTAAAAACTAATCAATAGTTTAATTTGATGTTAGAGATAATTCATTCTAATTTATATAATATAAACGGGGTATAATTATTAAGAAGATGTTGTTGAAAAACTTAATGTTCTTCTTCCTTTCGTCGGCATAGACCAGTCCGAATATGATTAAAAGCGCTTTTGGTCTTGACGATGGAATTGAAACGCGTCGGAAAGGTCTCGGCGACCACCGGCTGCGATTTCCAGGGGCGGTTAACAATGCTCAGCAATTAAGACGACTACCTTTTTCCCGACGACATGGAATGCATGTGTCGCGCACGTAGGTATGTATTACATATATGGGAACGCATGCAAACACCATGCGAGCAAGCAAGCAACGAGCACAACCGCTTGAGGTTGTCGAGAAGTCGAGATTATCCCGGTCCGTCCCACGCGTCTAGACGTCTCAAAGCTTTTTTTTCGTTCTCTCTCTTTCTCTCTCTCTCTCTCTCTCTCTCTTACTCTCTTTTTCGCTGTCGGTGATCACCAAGGCGTGGTACCACACGGCGTGACCGCGGTGTGGCACGGACGCACGGTGTACGCGATCCTGCGCCACTACTTCTCGCAACCACGCCTCGAATAATGTCTACAGGATATCTCAGAAGTCGCGTACTTCCTCCGCACCGGAGACACAATTTATTGCTAAACTGTCTCAATGTTGAGAAACGTACAGATAAGGAAAGTTCGCTTGCGAGAGTTCAACCCTCTGATGCACTTCAAGGATTAAAGTTATTCCTGCAGCGCTTCTCTTATCGCGCACATGCAACTACAGTGATATTGGGTTACCGAGAAATTATATTCTGGTTTACATTTATCGCGTTGTACTTGAAAGCAATATGTAATTGCGTCGTGTATAAAATTTTCAAACGAGGTGATAATTGCATCGTACATCTGAGGGTTAAGAGGCCATCGGATTGTTTGGCATCAAAAAATTGTATATGTACTGCCGGATGTTGTCGTGCGGTGCCAAGATACTCTTCGCAAATAAGGAGTATAATAATGCGATATAGCAGTATAATCGGGAGAAAAATTATTTGCAGTGAAGAGAGAAAAATTAAACACCGATGATATTAATATATCGTAATATAATTAGTATTTTACAATAATAAACATTAATATACATATAATACCATAATTAATATGTCATAATATATTAATATTGTAATAATGAACAAACATATCTAAGTATAATAATGTGTTATACTAATACGAAATAATAATCAAATTAATAAGTGTTAAAAATAGTAAATAGTGTAAAAAGAGAAAGGCGAGAGAGTATAGTGCTAATGCAGCTCTCCAATATTTCAAATTTCTATTTGGAAAACATTTTTTCATTCGTATTTATTTAAAAATCTAGAAGACTATTCTCTGCATTTGAGACGTCCTGTACATATCTTCATGAATAAATATGTATGTACATATATAATGAATGATATTGTCGAGGCAAACCACGGCGTTGATACTTTTTAAAATATGATACCTCCCGCATTGACATAACGCGTTTACTTAATTCTTAAATAAGGAATTAAATCTCTTTCGTGTCTGGAATATAATTCTACCTCGGAAAAGCGCGTTCAAGGAATAAGAAATTTCTTTCAGAATTCATATGAGAAATATAACTTTATCGATATATCACAATCAAGAGAAAATTCGATATTAAATTCAATAATTTTAAGATAACTGGAATAATATTTAATTTGCATATGCATGAATTCTTTATACGATATATTATTCCAAAAAACTAGAAATACGTAAATTAATAAATGAATACAAAAGAATAAATTTTATCTGATTGACGTATATTATACTGTAGTCATGCTGACACACCGAATTAACAATATTGCCGATTTAATTTGTTTGATTTTCTTGGTGAGTTTTCTTTTAGAAATTTTGACATAATTTGTTTAAGTAAAGGTTTTTATCATCGTTTCAGAGATGTTATACATACGACTTTTCAATCGTGTGTAAATATAATGTCAATTTTCTATGAAGACTCGCAGGAGTAAATGAAGATTGTACGAATGATCTTTCGACGATTGATTTTTGTTCCACCGTTTTTTAATGTCTGAGGAGGGCTCAATCCGAGAGCCGAAACGTGTAACACATTTATATTTATTATCTATTTTTTATTTTTTGTTTTTTATTTATTATCTCGTTTTAAAGGCGAATTATTGTTAAGCGATGTCTAAATTAGTAGTGACTAATTAAATGTTTTATTGTTTAAACGAATACCTTTTTTGACTCATATCGCCCTTGACATCATTTATTTACGTAAATTAATGTTAAAGATTTCCAGAATTTTGTGGAAGAATTGATATTATTGATTAAATAATGGACACATATATTTACAGGAAGATTTTAATACATTCATAGAATAAAATTTGAGACTATTCGTTGAATGTCCAAGTCACGAAGTTTTGTAAAACTGCAAATTACGGCGATCATAATTAGATCTCATTTGAATCTTCGTAGTCTTGTTTTTATTGCATACGAACCTCTCCTTTCATCACAATGCTTGAACATGTGAGCATTAAAGTCATCTGTTCTGTCCACTGCCAAACGACATCGCGGGAAAACTCATCGCGCCAGTAAATATAGACGGATTTAGCGGCACCGCGTCGGAGCGAAGTGGGTTAACGCGTTCGCACCAGGGTCGGGTTTCGCAAATCTCGAATAGAGCCGTCGAACGAATCAAACCGAATACGAATCTGTCTCGGGTGCGCGTACATTTCGCGTACCTTGGTCCGGACAGATCAGGGTCGAGGACATATTGGGGCTTGGAAAAGATCAGTTTTGTTTGTTATACTTATAACACCGTGCACGAAACGTCGTGCTGATTGGCAGTGTGTCAAGGACATTGTTTTGCTTCCTTTTTGGCCGTGAAAATGATCTGAAATACTTGTCACTAGACGTAGAGCCTACAAGAAGAGCCGTCAGTCTTATATATATTACTCTTATATATATGTCGTAAAAGAAACTGACCAATCACAGTCGATTATTCTTCTCACATTTGACTGCAATTAACTAAAAAGTTGAAAGTTAATTCTCACATAGCACAGAAGATGCAGCAACATTGCAACGTTTTTTTTCTTATACGTTACTGCAATATTGTTGGAACGTTGCAATGTTACTGGAATGCAGATCTGTGCTGTAAGACTTTTTTTATAACTTACGTCTTTTATTACAGACCCCGCATAACTTCATAATTTTTAAACATAAATAATGTGCGCGATCTTCTCTACAATCCGATATATATATAAACACCAACTAATAGTAACATAACATCAATATTACGATTTCCTACGCAACAATGTAACAGCTGTTACATACAGCTTATGTTATTTATACATTTGTATATTATTGAGTGGGAAATTATAATTGTATATATCGATGTGTGTAATTTTACTGTTAGGTCGAGGGGCAGCCTTTGCCTCGAATGAGAAAGCAAGAGTATCGTTTGGAATGTCGTTAATGAATTGCGGTATGGTTTTTAAACGGAAAATGCAGCAAGCATTACCGGCAACGTTTGCACTACCGGCACAAGAAAAAACCGACAGGGTGAATGAATGTATGCGTAAATATATGTACGTTCCTTCAGGAAAGCGATTAAAAGCTATCGCTCCGACAATACCGCACATAGGCCGGTCTCCCCTTCATTCACACTCGTGACTTCAGTGTTATTTATATAACATTTATCGAAAGATTAATACTTGGCTCGCTTATTGGATGCGTCTAACTTGATTCCATCGAATTCGTAACACACCTCCTCTATGCGTTTCGTTTTGATAAATAGATTTTTTTCGCGTTTCCACACGATTTAAATTTTCGTTATGGAATGTCTCGAAAGCTAAATCAAAGATTTAAATTCGTTGACTGTATCAAGATTCATAAAAAGCTAAACAAAGCGGTAAAGCTAGAAACGCATAAAAACATAAGCAGTGAGCAAATCGGCCACAGTATAGAGAACTGTTTTACGTTCTTTACTTTGACTGGCCAATTTGCTTACCGTTTCAGACTTATTGCCTTACGATTTTTTAAAATATATTTCTAACTTATTTTATTATTTATTGCAACAAGCCGATTACACAAACGCTTCATTTTTTGTTGACTTCGGGTCAAAGAGGAAGGTCTTTAGAGGAAATGGTTTCTTTATTTTCAAGCTCCCGATATTTTTCTGTTTTTTTGTAGCCCATGCATCACAAAGCGATGGATCTATAATAAAAGCGACGATACAGAGACAAAGCGAACAGAGAGGAAAGAGCAAGAGATGAAAGAGGATGCGGCACGAACATATGCGGGAGGGAATGAAATCGGCGTGCCATGTCATCGCGTGGTAACAACCTTTCGTTAAGGCGATTAGAGTCGCGCGACTCTCCTCGTCGGTCAGGCCTGGGACCTGTTATCGCGCTTGTCTCGCACACGACGCTGTCGACGGTCGACTACGTTATTTATAGAGAGAAAGTCTCGAGCGTTCGAGCGGCGAGAAAGGCCATTCGAAATTTTGCGAGGTTCGCGATTTCGCGATCGTGTTTCGGTCGATCGCGGTAGCGCGATTGCGAAACGCCAAGATGATGGCGAGAAAGATCAAAGTTTCGCTCTTCCTAGAGCTTTCGACTATTCTCGAGAGGAAGCTCGTTGCACTTGCCGGTTAATAATAGCTCGTGGGAGCGTGGTACTATTCCGCCTGTGCGCGCGCGAGACGGAGTACATAAATAGATAGAACTGTAGTCGTAAGTCTAGAGAGTGGAAGCAATGAGTTTTCGCGTTTTAATGTAATTCTTTTTTTAACTTTATATGTTTGAAAGAAAACAATGTATAGTTAAATATAGCAATCAGTATATCAGTGTTTTAATAATATTTTGTCTTTAAATTTATGTTTAAAAGACAAATATATATACTTAAAATATGTCGCAAACTGGTATTTTAATTCCAAATAGCATCTATTTATATTTCGTAATACAAAAGAAAGAAATTAATTTTTTATTGCAAAAGTAAAGATTTTAATTAGTTAGTAAAAATGTTACATTAAAAAATAGTTTTATAAATTATTATATTGTATATTTTTTCATTATAACGTAAGAACATCTTTTATTATTTATAATTATTGTTTCCTGTCAAAATACTCCTCCACGTTTATTGAACTTGAAACTAGTAACGTACTCACAAGCATACTTAAAATATGCTTTATTAAAATTTATCTTGTCGACGTTACTGCTTATTGCATTAAAAATTCGAATATTATATATCGGTATACAACTAATTCTCGTTCCATACTTTATGCGTGCATGGATCAGCCCATAAAAATACTCGCTATTTCAAGCATGCGTAAGGAGTATAAGGATACAAGTACTCGAGTAAATCTGCTCAGCTTAAAACGAATATGGCGGTGAAAGTTGCCAAAGAATCAAATTTATAAAACGTGCTACGAAATCTGATATGTTTGCGTTTGATTAAAAATTTCTATTTTAATAAAACTATTTAAAAAAAACGAATGTTTCGCATACACGAAACAATTTATTTGGTTTTATTGAAGTATTTGAAAACTCAATTAAATACAGATCTAAAAATAATTCTGTTCGGATCATTAAAATAATTATTGGACGCTAAACTAGTTTCTAGAATATTAAAAAAATTTTACGTCATTACCACCGATGTGGTAATGATTTGAGCGTTTTACATAATTATTTTAATAACTAATAAAATTATCTCCAGTTCTATTTTTAGTTAAATTTCTAGACATTTTAGCGCAAAACTGTTCTTTCCATGTCATTCGTAAAAGTGTTCTTAAAAGTAATGTAAGTCTAATTATATAAAAACTGTGCATGTCTTTAGTTCTATCGCGAACATTTATAGTGCTTACTCAGCACATTTGTTTAAGCGGCATTTTATCGCGCAAATCACCTTCTTCTTTCAGGCCATCGCCCATTGCAAAAATAAGCGTTAAAACTCGGCGAAGTATTCTTACACGAAAGAAAAGATAAGGGGAGAATCGGGGGCTTACCGTGCAGATTGCGTTATCCGACGCTCGGCGTCGTCCGGCTCCGCCGCCTCTGCGCTATCGTTCTCTCGATGGTCTTTTCTCCCGCACGCGCGCTCTCGTTTTCTCATTTTCGAGAATCGTCGCACAGCTCCTCTCCTCACGTTCTCGCGTCTATTCCTCTCCGTTCCCACGTCCCTGGCGACTCACGTGCCTCGCGAGATGCGCCTCCGGCTCTTGGTCCCGCACTCCCGCGTGATCTACGTCTCGGCGAAGTCGCCGAGGTGAGAAAAACTGAAGGAGTTTGTACAGCTTCGTACATGATTTCGATATCGAGACGAGGGGGCACGACCTCATCGCAGGTCGATTCACCAATAGGGTGCATCGTTGGCCAGGTGCTGCCAAGATGCGAATTCGCTCCAGGTACGCATGTTCAACCTGCTAGCTTCCGCGATCTGCGGCACGCTGCCGTCCCTCGTTCCGTTGGAGAGCCCGTCGCATTTACTCGTTTGGCTGTTATCACATCGTACGGCTGGTACTCGAGGCTGAAGCATCGGTATAAGGTGTCTCAATTCTCTGCGCATCGTTGCAACGAATTAAAAAGAATTCGGAATTTATTTAACCTACCAATTCCATGCATAAAAAGGATTGCATAATAGTTTTACGAGTCAATGCTCGGATTGTGCAAAGAACGCAATGTTTCGGATATGCGTATATTAGAGAACATTTTAGCTATGAATGATATGTCTTTGAAAATCAATAAACCGTGAATTATCGCGCGCGCTTGGCAAATATTTAATGAAGATCCGCAGATCTTTCAAATATGCGTATTCGTAAAATAAAATTACGTAACTTTTATGAAATATGTCAGTCCGCGTCAGTCAGTCGTGGATCGTGTGCATCGTCACAAGGACTGCAAATAGAAGTGACGCCACAAATGTAATTTTTTTTTTAAATATTCTTTATATATAATTAAGAGATTAAGTAATCTTTCCGAAATACTTACCTCCTGCTTTTTGCTAACAAGATAGTTTTTGCCCTCGTTGTTGTCCCACGACTCCTTGCCGTCGGTGCGATACCTCACGCAGAACTCAATGACGTTCGACGCCACCGGCAAGGTGAGCCGGAAGCGGAAGGTATCGTACAGAATGAGGGAACTCGATGACCCCGGTTGCGCCACGTACGTGCAGTGCACGTCCTCGTGGGTAGACCAGCTATCGCTGCTGGCCCTCACCACGACCTCCTTGTCGTAGGCCAGATTCCGTACCTTCACCGTGCCCACCAAGCACTGCTCGGACTCACGCACGATTACGTTTTCCAGGCTAACGCTACTTTGATCGAGCTTACGCCGGAAGGCGAGATAATCGCTCGCTGGTTGCGGGAAAGTCACCTGCCACGGTGGTGTAATATCCTGTGCTGCTTCTTGACTTTGATCCTTCGATATGCCGAGCAGACCGGCCACGTAAGCTGTGCTCCATAGTGGTGGTACGTTGCTCGGTTCCGACATGACGCGAACCTATGTACCAAATCAAGTATAACATTGAAATGTATGATTGCCGTAAGAAAATAAAATAAAATAAAAAAAGAGGAAAGTTAATTGCAAGTGCAATGTTAATTGGAAACACAACTGTTGGATGATCGTATCATTCATATTTTCTACAACACAGCGACATATAAAAATTATCACTTTAATATTATAATACATTAATATCACAAAATTGTAGTGATTTAAAACCTTTAAATTGATTTTCTGGAAAACTTTGTTTATTAAGTTGTGTCCACAAGCTTCTATATCTAATATAGAAGTCTCTCTGGTTATGTCGCTGTCATAAAATGAACGATATAATAAATATGTGATTTTAACTGAATAGTAAAACAAAAACACAAATTATTTATATTAATGAAATCTTTGCTGCCATTATAAATTTTTTTTTGTGATTTTGATTAATTACTAATTAAATAACAGTAATTTAATTATTGAATTTGATAATCATAAAACAATTCTATTAAGTATTCTGGCATATTAATTTGGTAGATATAAATTATGTGCCTCTTGGCACTTATTTTTGACATAAATCCAGTTTACACGCTCGAAATATATTTTATCAATATATATGTATGACATGCAAATTGTCAAAACGCTGGCGACTATCAGCGCATATTTAAAGTTAAATATGTGATTCCTAGGCTTCTGGTCAGATGTTACCGCACTACTTCAATAAGAACAACTTTAAACAAAAATCATAATCCAAAAGCAAAGTAAAGAACGTTGTTTGATCCTTTATTGGTGGTATTGGCTTTGCTTGTCTCATTATTTGACTTTCGAAAGTAAACTAGACGCATGTTTACTTTATGAATGCTATAGTGCATGCTGAAGTTTTATGATTTTTTATTTACGATATAAGTAGTTCATTACAAGTTCTTCTTTCTTTATATTTGCTGAAGAAGTGAGACATTATTTCGCACCATGAATCTGATCTCGATAAAAGCAAAGTGAAAATCGCGGAAATACCTGTGTGAGGGGTCGGCCGCGATCATCGGCGAACACCACCCGCTTCTTCTGTTTCCCATCATTGTTTCGTAGTGAGTCCAAAGGTAAGGATCCCGTAGAGAGGCACGGTCTGATTCTAGGTGGCACCGATCGGCTGGTGATCGTGGGAGCCGTGACCACCAAGGGGCCGTACAGCAGGGAACTGTACACCGGGGGGCTGTGTAAAATCAGTTCGGCAGGCATCGCTATCGAACACATTTAGACCTGTAAAAAAAGAGGTTCCCTTTTTAGAAATTTGCCATTGTCGTAGCCAAACAATATTGATATTAACAAATATTATTTTTAGAATATAAAGTATACTCCGCTTTTGTACAGCCTTTAAAGTTTTAAATTCGAAGAAAGTTTTAAAATGTAAATTTTATGCGTTCTATATATCTAAAATTAAATATATAATTTGTATTAAAATAATATAAAATGTATAATTTGTGTCAGTAGTCTCTCTTTTGCGTACACTTCCTAGTTGATTCTTTCAGGAATATAACTGTAAAGTTATTGCAGAAGCGACAACCGCTAAAAATTACACAATGAAAAATCGACGAGACTGGAAACATTATGCTTAATAGTCTCTTCATTGGAACTCTGGCGCCCGAAATTTATTGACGTCGAGACACCATTAGCATTAATTTTCGCCACGTCGGTGGGCGAAATCTACGAACGATATAGCATTCTAAGTTGTCAAGAACGTCTTTCGGTTGCCAGAAATTTCATCAACTATTTGAATCATCTCCGGATCACGAGGTTGTCAGATAGATCTCAAAATCATTAGAAATATTTATTATAGATATGTTGATCGAATGCCAATTAGTTGCTGATACGTGTGACAGTTATAGGAGGTATATATCATCGATGTACCAATCACATTCTTTGCAGTAATAATAACAAAAATAATCGTATTTTTATTTATAAAAAAAATTCTTTTGTACCTTAAAAATGTATGATAAGAACAAAATGTGATATTGTAATGTCGGTATTATAAACAAAAGCAAAGAAAAATTTGATTTTATTTTTAAAATACTACAAGCGTTATTTTAGTATTTATATTCTTATGTATGATAAGCGCGTATATGTTAATGTATTTTGTGGAAATTATATCAATAATTGCTATGCCAAACATGATCAAATACGACGCCGCCAATCAAAACTTTATTCAAGTGTATTACGGTATCTTGTAAAATGATCTACTTTACGTATTACGTGTGTACATTTTATTTTAATATACGATACGACACATAAAAGTGAACGGTACAAGTGATTAAAGGTTATCATAATCCGGTAATATAAGCAAGATTTATTACATCTTATTAATGAGTTTTAAATAAAAATAATATATAGGGTGTAATAAAATCATATAGATTTCTTCTTAACAAATATTTGATGGCGATTCGTCATTTGTCAAAATAATTTAATTAAAAAATAAGAAATATACTTTTCTAATATTTCTATTAAATAATACAATATCCTACATTAAATAATAGAAATATGTCGTATTATACACAACGGCATAGATGATCTTATTTAAAATATTGGACACATTTCTCGTATAATTAAGTAACATTTACATCTTTCGGTATGAACCTGATCATATTTTACAATAAATATTGGTGCTTTTCATTGAGTGACAAATCGACATAAGTGTTATTCTATCTTTCTTGACATTCAGTGAATAACAAAGATAGAACAACATTTGTATCGACTGGTGTTATCGAATGGAAAGTATCTATTAACTTTATTTTACTGAGTACAAAGTTATTGTAATGTAATGCAATTTGTACAGATATTCTTGAGCTAAGGGTAAAAATTGCGCTTAGAACTCGGTAACATTTATACATATCTGCGTATACAATTTTACCGTTGATATACTTTTATATTGCTGGCGCAAATATGCACTACGTGTATGCATAATCAAGTTACTCGCGGAGTAGAATTACGACTTCCAGGCGCGACGAACCAGCGAGCGGCTCTTCCTTTTCTGGAGACCGGTTCCGGGTGAACCGGGTCCGCGAGACGCGGCACGCATGTACATACATACATACAGTAGGTACCAGACCGAAACCGAACGGCAGCGCAGAGAATCGGCAGACCATGAATCGCGTGGGCTCAATTTTAGATTTCAGCACGGCGTTTTATCTTCGAAATAATTTAAATCAAATACAACATAAAACATGTTTGTAAAATAAATAGTTTGAATATAAAATAATTAGTTTGTTACAGGTCTAAATAATGATAGCAGAATGAAATGCATCTGTAAACACCTTGTACGAGTGGTATAATGTTCCTTTCTGCCAGCAGAGCAAGAAAGGTGCGGCTTATTTGATACTAAAAATCAATCGAGTTCGGCTACGAAATTAGGATAACTATGTAGTTGGAACGTAATGATTTGTGTCTGCATTTAGTAGCTATGCGTTACCGTTTATTAAGTATCGTAAATATGCGTTGCATGTTTTTCATGCTTATACATTTGAAAGTATATTTAAAAGTACCTAGAACGAAGATTTTCTAAAAGAAAGAAAACTTAAAACTATCGACATTGAGTTAATAATTGTAAATTAGATACCACACAGACAAAACTCATTGTAAAAATTTTTAGTATTGCATGGTTTACGAGCTTAATCGTCTAAATGTATACAAGCAAACGTTGAGGTCGTATGATGTCATTCTCAGTCTGTTTCATCTGACAACGATTTAGCGAGGGCAGATTGTTTGGTCTAACGATATGTACAAAGAATCTTATCATTTCTTGCTACAACTCTCATTATCATTTTCCTGTAATTTTCCGAAGTCATTATAATCTGCTTTATCTAACTAACAACATGTACCGTCAAAAATCAACAAAAAATATAAGATGAAATAGCGATTCGTGATGCAATTAACCGTTTTTATATACAAGCGAGAAAGTGATATCGAAAAGTGATAGAAAGATATTTGTTTACAAAATAATTTTCTTGTAAACATTGATTAAGATTACAATTATTCTCACGCAATGGCATTAACAAGTACGTTACTAACAAGTACGTTACTAACAAATGAAATCATTACTTTATTTCATTGTCCAACATTATTTTATTGTATACCAAATTTTTTTTGTAATTAATAATAAAGATTTATTTCTGACGAAGCCCTGTCAGTTACGTGATTATCGCACGTTCGCGAACAATAAGTCTTGATACGCCTCATTGCACTTCCTATTCATCAACTCGACAACTGATCGGCGTGTTGCACTTTTCTCTTTGGGTATACTGCCGCATGCTCGAGCACGATATATTCGGCGACGGTATTTTTACCGTACCCGTAGGGATCATAGAATGATTCTAAACTCACAGACTTAATTCTCAATGCGACGCGCCTCGTTACATCTCTATTCACGGTTTATTATCACGCTTTTCCGAGGTGCACGTTGTATATTTCAGCGTGATAAATACATTTACGATATTTTTATCGCAAACGCAAAAAGATAAAAGAATCTTTCATCGAAGTAATGATCGGGTTGAGCCGTCATCCATTAATTGTCATACAAACAGTTAGATAAATGTTATATAATGAACGAGAGAATATTGAAAAGAGATGATGTTTATTGAAATGTTTCTTGCTGCAATGTCTTTGGAATAGCAAGTATTTGCAAAGTATGTACATTTATTATAACGCAATAAGCAATAAATATTGGATACTGATTTATAAATTAAAAAAAAAAAAATCTAATAATTTACGATGTCATTTCATATAATATGGTACACGCGCGCGCAAGCGCACATTATTTGTATCATTTATCTATGTATATATAGGTGTATGCAATTGTCCCGGAAATTGATGATCATCAACGACAATCACCAACTACATGGTTCTTTTTTGCCGTTGGTAGCACGAACAGTAGAAAGAAACGGTTATACACGTGTCAACGGCAGTTTATCGCTTGGCTTCTTCTGTTTACACATGTAAGACCATAAAAAAGAATACGCGATTGCAGCGAATGTCCGATATGTGCATTGCAATTTCGATAGGCGCGATCACAGTTGTGAAAGCGCATTTTTCTGCGTTTCAATTGATATGTTGATGATACCACATTCTGCAATTCAGAATTTTTATAATATTAAAAAGTGTATTTTACATACTTATTCAAAATAAATGTTTTATCTGCAAATAATTTTCACTAATAATAACAAAATAAATAACTCATAATTATGATAATAATCACATGCTTTATTGTGTGTAATAATTCATAGATTTTATTGATCATCATTTCGTTTAATTATATAACGTTATATAATTATTATAATAATTCTGCAATACGTATATCTAATTTGACATTGATTTTATGTATATATAATATATATATGACAAATATAATAACTTATTTTTATACAAAGATAAAACGTCACGTTGACATATAATGTCAACAGCACTTTTTAATAAGTCAAATATGTCAGACGCATTTATCTCTTTTGTCCTCCATAAATTGCATTATTATTTGCATGGATAAGAATGCTCTTGGGTCATCTTACGTTTATGTCACATTTATCTCTACTTTTTTAAAATATTTTAATCTCATTATTGAAATATATTGAATTATATATATATATATAAAACTTTTTTTTATACTTAATAATATTTTTATTGATATATATTGCGTCAGTCCTTTAAAATATACAAAATAGAAATTGTGAAATGTAATGTAATTCAATCTTTTTAAAATTTATATGCGAAAAGCTCTTCTATAATGTTTGTTAAAAATATTTAAATGCGGCACAGTATAAAATTACAATTAAACAATGCCCTTTTTCATTGGAGAATGACTGGTAAGATGATTCGGTGAGGAACATTACGCAGTCAAACTATTTCAGATAATCTCGCGGCCAAATTTAGATCGTCGTGAAACACGGCCTTGGATCTGGTCCAATTGTCCACACTCTTTAAGGTAGATATAAACTCGCGGCACATCAAGAACGGGAAGAGGAAAAGTGACAGCGAGGCTCTCAGACCAATTGCGAATTGCTTGAAATAGAAAACCTTAACCCCGCGTAAGGGTCATGAAACTTGCCAACTCATAAGCGGCAAGCTTTAAAAAATAAATTCAAAGAATGAATAATCAAAAGTTTTGATGCTTCCGGCTTCTTCTGGATTTTTAACGAAATACTTTTAGTGTTCTTTTGTCTGTCTCTCTCTCTCTCTCTCTCTCTCTCTCTCTCTCTCTCTCTCTCT